CAACTAACAGGCAACTTCAGATGTGTAATTACCTTTATGTAAATGTAAACAAGCCTTTTTCAAATTAAAATGCTGATGATTAAAAGTTGACAGGATATGTTAACAATGATGTGATCTGACTTATCTGTCTGTGACAAATATGAATGCAAAATGATAACTAATGTCAAGGGCTGGAATGGGACAATTGGCCAAATTAAATTCACCCAAACATGTTGCTTAATGTTACTGTTTTAGACCAAGAGCTGCTTTTTTTTTTTTTTTTTGTTTTTAATTTATTTTTTTATTGGTTGAAAAATTCATAATTTTTGGAAAATCTTAAATTTTTTTTTGTCTTTGTGTTTTTTTTTTTTTTTTTTTTTTTTGGTTGTAAATTATTATTTTCATGGTTGAACAAATCATAACTTTTGGAAAATCCTAAAACTATTTGTGTACATTCCTCCGTTTTCTTCTCATGATAAGTCTTCTATTTCTTTTAGCTTAGCTTTTTCCAATTCCCTCTTTTCAATCTATTCCATTTAGGCCAAGAAGGAAAACTTGAGTTACTTGTTATTAAATTTTTTAAAGCCTTTACTTGGTCAGACATGCCGTTTTTACATGTCAGGTAGCCATGTCTTGTTGATGTAATTCTCATTATGCCCAAACTCATTCAAAATCAATGACTTCAAGTGTTTAACTGCACACTGCTACAAAATTGGGGAGTTAAAAGAAAAATTGAGCAAAGAGGGTTTTACTTTACTACCTAAACAAATGGACATATTGAGTAGGCTTTAGATTTACAAAAGGACCTCACTTGGCTGTTGCCATGGCTTTAGTTTTACAATAGGACCTCATTTGGCTGTTGCCATGGCTTTAGTTTTACAATAGGACCTCACTTGGCTGTTGCCATGGCTTTAGTTTTACAAAAGGCCCTCACTTGGCTGCTGATATGCAGCCCAGATAATAAACAACTTAATTGTCTTTTTAGCCTCTGTTGCAGGTCAGCAGATAGAGAGAGAGAGAGAGAGAGAGAGAGAGAGGGAGAGAGAGAGAGAGAGAGATAGAGAGAGAGAGAAAAGAGAGAGAAAAAAGAGAGAGAGAGATTTAAATGATTATTTACATTAGGGAAAAGCTGTGGGTTAAAAATCTTCAGCTATTTACAAAAGCAAACTTAAGGGGTTATTTAAATACAGACAAGATTGAAACAAATCACAACACAGAACCTTGTATGACTAGAAATGTAATTAATCATCTTACATTATAACTACAGGACACTAATTCTATTCAGTATATAAATATTACATTTACAGCACAATGTCTCTAATAAATAAGTAAATGTAAAAATGACTGTCCTGGTGGTCCCAAAATGAACTGCTTTGATATTGCATATAAACAAACAAAATATAACTTCTTGCTCAATGAATTTCACTTGGATTTAAATTCAAAGTTTAATTTAAAAAAAACTGGTAAACTGCTGCACACTGAACAAATCAAACAAGTTTATATTAAAAGTTAACACTAAATATTATAATATAAATTTAATTGGAAATATTTGTTTACTTAAATCACAACAATCTTCAGTTAAAATACAGTTTATGTTTTTCATCAGAGTAGATGAATCAGAATGTCATATTGAATAATCAAACAGTGACAAATTTGGTACAGAGAAGTGTTATACAAAGATACATAATTTTAATAAATGTCTTTAAAATATCTAAATTTGTCCACCTATTTATAACACATTGTACTTTTCCTCTGTCCAAATTGTATCCTAGCTCTGTAAAAAGTTGTTTAATTTTAATTTCCCAGCTCTAAAAGCTTGGTATTCACAAAGTTTACTTTTCAAAGAGCTGATGAGAGATTTCAGGTAATTCCTTTGTAATGATATATTAAAAATATTTCTAAAATTCAACTGAAGGATTACCTATATCTTGTTTATATATCCCACACAAATTATGGCTTTAAATACAACTCACGAAGGGATGAATGAATAATCCACAGGCTTACAAGATTACCTACAGTTAAAATACAATTGAAATGACTATAAAAGATTTGTTACCATTTGAATCCTATTCTGCAGGTTTTGTTTTTTTTGTTAAATGTGCATGATAACTTCCTTTTGCCAATTCCATTTACTAGTATTAGAATTAGGATAATAATGAAAATGTAAAGACTTTAACTGTTATGAAGTAAGCTTGAACAGATTTGTTCTGGAAGACAAGGTTAATTGACATATTTCTTTCTATGAAAATTAAATGATTTGTATCTGAACAACTACCACCGGTAGAAAAACAAAGAGAAATCTTAGTTTTTTTAAATATAACTTCAATGCCACTGTAATACCTGCTTTTCTCGATGTATGCAAGATATTGGCAACTGCCAGTGAGCTTACATTTTTAAATACATAGACGATAAATACATTAAAAAAATCTGGTGACATTTCAATAAGGAGGCAAAAAACAATTATCATGGGCTAGCACTGTAAAAAACAATCACAAAGATATTGATACAAAAAATAGCCTGCACCAATATTCTGTAAAAAAGAACAACACGTGGAATGATAACTGGCTATTACATTACAATATTGTATTTTCTTAACAAAAAGGGATTACCAGACTGCTCTCTTTGGAAACAGATTATGAGGGGTAAAAAAGTTTTAAAAACACATTAATGTTATAGTTATATTATTTTTCATAAAAGATTTTGTAATTATCTGGTGTCATGTTTAAAAACAAATCTGATTATTAAACATTTTAATGAATCAGTCTGGCAAGTTGCACTTTTGATAATTTGATCAAATTGTTGCACATGCAAATGGTGTGAGACGAGCCGATTGAAAAACTTGATCTACTATGTGTGTCTGCATCAATCCATCTGAAGCCCATCAAATCCTTGAAAAGACATGGGTTGAACATTATCTAGATAATAACAAATCCTTGGACAGACATTGGGTGAACATTATCTAGATAATAACAAATCCTTGGACAGACATTGGGTGAACATTATCTAGATAATAACAAATCCTTGGACAGACATTGGGTGAACATTATCTAGATAATAACCAATTGTTTAGATGGGAAAACGTTTTGTAAGCTAAGTAGGCCTAATCTTTAAACACCCAATTTACCTTTATAAGGTCATCATTATCATCTTGATCCAGTGGTCATTAGGGCATTCACCCTTCAGCAATGATATAACCGTTAACAAACTACAGGACTTTTCCTTTGAAATTCAAAGGGTAAAATTAAAGAAAAATGTTTGAGCTCAAACCTAGTTTCTTTGCACACAGTCTTTTTTCTTAGCCAACATTATAATTTATACATTGAGATAAAACAATGGCACACATATATTTTATACTATTGGAGGAAAGGGAACATTGGTACACATAACAATGCATAGTGAGAGAAAGCTTCAGTGCACACAAAATGATTACAATGAGAGGAAACATTATTTGAGAGCAAGTGTATCAATTTCCACGAAATAGAGGTCACTGAAATGGGGTCAGACAAGGAGATTTTTTATTTATGAGCCTTATTAGCTAGGAATGTCAGTCAATATGATATTCACATTTATTCATTTGTAAAAATACTTGAGAAGTAAAACCTCTGAAAAAGAGCTGTAAAGAACATAAATCATGCTACATAACTACATATTTTTATATGACTTAAACTGATTAATGCTGGGATTGATCTCTGGCCAAGATACTGATTAACTACTGATAAGAGATGGACAGCAACATAATAAAAGATTTACAAAATTTCTATGTCTTAAAAGTGGAATTAAGTGGAGAAAAAAGCAAATGAAACTTATGTGGAGACATCACAAATGAATGGAGACAAGAATAAATTAATTTCTGTATAAGAATTATTTTTACATAGATATAATCATAAATGAGAAGAAAATGTTTTTAAAAAATTAAATGAAATATCTGGGAGGGGGATAGATAAAAGGGCTGTGAGTGGGTTAGTGTATTTTAATATGTTTTTTAAAATTAATTTAAAAAAAATTTTTTTTTTTTAATTCGTCAATCCCTAATAGGATATTTACTGAATTCCCATAGTTATTGTTTAACAATATCTGATTCATTAATTATAACACTCTTAATCTAATGGTCATTCGTGCAGAGATTTTTTTTATGCTAACTAACAAGTTAAAGGATATCTGTTTCATTCTTGTGAGCACAGGGGCAAAGGTGAATTCTTTTGAAATAAAATACAACAAAGCATTAGGATCAATATATTTTTTTTTTAAAATGTTGCATGAAATGAGACAGATTAATGAAGAGAAACACAATCAGTGCAAAAAAACCCCCAAAATTCAAGAACACAGTGTAATAAAATACCAAGTCAAAATTGGCAGAACAGCTGTAGAAACTTATGTTTAGATGACAATGCAGCCAAGTAATCAACACAAGATTGGTAAACCATTATGACCCCGAACATATGTTTGCCTTGCCTAACTCAGCGTATTTATAGCTTTCATTCAGCTTCTATGGAGTTGTTGTTTTTTTTAAAAGGAGTGGAACTAATAATTTAAATGAAAAAAAAAATAAGAGGGTGAACTATACTACGTTTCTATTGATTAATCATAACAATATATTAACATTGTAATTGGGAGGAGAATTTCCTATAGATATATTTGATATAGTTTAATAGTAAACTTATGCTGCAAGGAAGCTTTTGTTATAAATGGTAAAAGGAGGTGTAAGTAAAAATAACCTTTTCTGAGACAAGAGCCTTTTGCACAGTTGCTTGTGAAAATATTCTCATTATTACTAAAGCTTGTTGAGCAATGTGATGTCTATAAATAGAGGTAAATTGGAGAACATTGTAAGGCACAACCATTATATTTGAATGAACTCTTGATACACTCTATTTGATAGATTTCATAAGATTCTGACAATTCCAAATAGCACATAATCTAACTTATAATGTGAAATACTCACAATTGCAAAATGCTTTATTAAATACAATAATACATGTACAATTTTAACATGATTTAAAAAATTTTTTTAAAGTTATTTTGTTAACCTTTATACAATAATTTCATTATTTTTTTCATAAATCATCTTTATTTAGCAGCCAAGATTATTAATGATTTATATTTGAATAATGGACAAAACCAAATGTAACAATAATATTAATAATAAATCAATTTTTTAGGTTATAGGAAGAAGAGAGTACAATAAAACCCACTAGACGGATGCAGCAATGGGAATTATGATTAAAAAAATGAGAACACCGAGGGCAACACTAGCATAAATGCACCAAACTGCTAATTTTAAATCTCTTTGTGCCATTCCCATCAGTCCTTTAGACTGATGCCGTTTGCCCCGCCTAGCGTATCTCACAGCAAGAAGCCCAGTGATGATACAGAAGATAATGCTTACATAGGCAGCTACCATGACCTGCTCGAAGGTTTTCCATGGCCTGGGAACCAAGTCTCCAATAGGAATGTGACGCAGGTTAATATCACTCTCTGTTGTGTCTTTGTAAGGGTTCTCAGAATTATTTTCAAAGTCAGGGTCACTGTACGTTGAATATCCATTCTTACGATCACCTCTACTTGGACCTGATCCTATCAAAGATACAGACACCTGCTCTGGCTCTGCAGGAAGGTCAAAATCGGGCGCTGCATCATCTGACTGCGGAAGGGGTAGATGGTCTGCTCTGCTCATTCTGAGACTGCTGTTTGAAAAGTATTAATAAAATGACATGAATCAATTATCCTTATCGCTTGTATTGGGAAATTAAATTACAAAATTTGTCAACATCAGTGTTTCCCAAATTATTATGCTTAGTGGACTGGTGGATCAGTTTTCCCATTGGACAAAGGACTGGTGCCATTTTTAAAAAATAATTTAATTTATTTTTTATTAATAACCGATTCTTGCAACAATTCAGTGGTGATGCTATGGGGACTAAAATGGGATCCATCTACGCATGTTTGTTCATAAGACATTTCAAACACATGGTGGAGAGAGACTACGTCTACATTGGATATCTCCCTGAATTTTACAAATGGTACACTGATGATGGTACAGGGGTCATCACTATGAAGAGGAGTGAATTTTACCTATTATTCATCAACTAAATAAACAGTGACAGCAATCACACAACTGACCCTTAACTATAAGACTATCTATAGAAGTAATTCAGAGGCAGAGGTTCTAACAGATGCCAGCAATTTTTTATTTCTTTTTGGAGGGTGGGGTATATTCTGAGAAAACATAGTAAAAAGTCTATAAAACCAGATACAAAATATCTATAAATATGAGAAATCAGAAAATTGTATAACAACACACATTATTAATGCCCTTATAATCACTTTATGAATGAATGATTGCCTCGCTATTTGTGGGTGAAATTAGATTAGTTAGATTTAACGTCAACAAAAAAACAACAAAGTGTTATGCCATCTTTGGCAGTTTAGTCTTTGGGACTCCTTGAAATCTTGAAGTAGATTTGGAAATTCTACAGTTTCCATAACGATAAGAATATAAGATTAAGATGACAGAATATCTAATTTATCAACTACCCTACTTAACTATTAACTGTCACTACTAACTTGTGACTTGTCTTTAAATTTAAAATTAAATGAGTCCCTTTTGACTTAAAAAACTTCTGACTAATAAACTTATACTCAATTATACTGTGTTGAATCATGCATCAGCTAATTACATATACTAATAATAATAATATAATCATGTATCAATGTCCTTACCAATAAAATACAGAACGATAGCGGATAGTTATTAATTCGCGGGATTTAATAATTGTTTATAAACAATGTAAACATCAGTTCGATACTTCCTGATAGAGAAATGAGTAATAAGACCAGTCATTAAAATTATTCATAATAATTATATGCTTTTTATCCGATATTTATAATAAAATACTATTATATGATAAAAATATTTATAATAATATAAGAGATAATTTCTACAAAAAAAGAGTTTTAATGAGTCTCAAACAGTTATTTTATGAAATATCTTTCATTTTTATAATAAAAAGTTTTAGATCCCTAATAAAGAAAAGATCACTCTCATCACAAGTACTTGACATTGAAGTAAAATTTCGTCATTGTTTTTAAAGGATAGTATCGACTGTTTTAAGATTGTCACAAAAAGAGGTTATTTCTGATACATATGTTAAATAAATTTGTTTGTTTAAACACACTGTTCTGGGTATTTTAAGGATATTATTTGGTTTTAAATTACGTTAAATTATTTTAACCAGCCAGGCCCTTCAGTCCGACCGTCAGTCAGTAGCTGTTGCTGTCGACCGTTGCCGTACAAGTAGTAGTAGTAGTAGTATTAACTGTATTCATTTAAATTTAATTATTAATAGTTTAATTATAATAATAATAATTAAGACAGAGTAGTTAGTAGTAGTAGAGACTCGTTCAAGTCCTAGTCCAAGTAGTCTGTGGTCAGTTCAGTAAGTCACACACTCATACAGATGTTCACTCGGTAAAAAAAAAAAAAACAACAACTTTCCAGCACAAAATGCTCAATTGTTATGCCATTAATTTGAAAGAAAAAATGCCAAAATGTCCAAAAAATAAATGTAAAAATCTTTGATTATTATTATCATAAATCAACCAACCTCTTACTCTTACTTTACCATAAGAAGAGAGGGTTTGGACTCTGATAAAGCTTTTAAAGTAGATTAATGACTCAATTAATGAGCATTAAAAATGACATTACTTTTATTATTATTAATCTTAAGTAGGTGTTGCCTACCTTTATGGTTTTGAAAATTTAATATGTGTTAAGATTTTGGCTCGTAGAATAAACAATAAGTAACATTAACAAAGGACTGAAAAAAAGAAAATGATACCAAAGCTAGTGATACTAATATATTTAATTTAACTAACCAAATACAAATTTGAGTTCAGAAGCAAAAATATTGTATCAACTTACAATAACTTACAGCAAGTGATAAAGGTACACTCCTCAAAAATACATATATTAATTTACACACACACAATTATGTCTGGTATAACAAAAATCTTTCCCTCACTCTCCCTATCTTTCGCTGCTAAGAAATCACACAGCCTATATATGGGAACCAACTCAGAATGCTCTCATACAGAAATTCTAGAATTTGTGTCACCTATTAGCATTCTGTAGAATAAATAGAATGCATTCAAATGTAAACAACCTTTTTCCAGCCCAGAAAGGGATGAGCAAGGAATGTGTGACACAGCTCATTTACTCAGTGATGTCATTATCAAGGTCATACTAACAGACAAGTGATGATGGCTAAAAATAGCTCTACCTTAAAGTGAAAAATAGTTCAAGTCATAGGCTTTATTATAACAATATGCCTACTGCTTATTTTTTTTTTTACAATTAAAAAATTCTTATACCGTATTCTATTTACAGGTAAAATAAAGACAACACAATGCCTGCTGAAAACCCACAAATAACTGGTGCACAACAAAACACTGAAGAAAAACCAAAGTGTAAAGCATGTTGTGCCTGTCCAGAAACAAAAAAAGCAAGAGATGAATGGTAGGTAGTATTTATCTGAGAGTCTAAATAAATGACAAACAAATTTGTCAAATAAAGGATTCTCTCAAACTCTGGCTATTACAAGAACTAAGATATATACCTTTCTTTCCAAGGAGTTACTTTAGCATTCAAACCAGATAAACTAGTATGTAATGGTGTTAAAAATTTATTTTAGCACCTAATTCTGATTTTTTAAAGCTACATAAAAAAAGATCTACTTCATTTTATGATTTTTTTTTTACTTTTTGATATTTTTTTTGTTAAGAAATGATTTCAATAACTATAAAAGTTAATCATCAATAATTTAAAAAAAAAATAATTTCAGCGTCATTGAAAGGGGAGAGGAAAATTGTGGGGATTTAATAGAGAAACACAAACAGTGTATGAGAGACTTAGGATTCAAGATATAAAAGGTAAAAATGTAATTTCAATTGTCTGCTTATCACATATATTTCCTTGTCAAGATTCTAACATTTAATAAATGAAGGACTACGTTCAAGTTATGTGAATGACAAATGTCTATATATTTCAAGCTCCCACATACCTTGTTCCAATAATTCCTTCTAAAATTTAACAAGATTCATGTGACAAAACTATGTCTGTAATCTTAGTTGCAAATGCACAGAATTGAAAATTAGTGCCTTAGTGGATATATGATCTTCTTGTCTCTAATTGTACAAAGCTAGATTGTGGCTAGGTGGCAACCTTGATTGCATGCTCCCTGGAGTTGACAATCAATATAGTTGCTACAAGAAAACTTATTTGCTTTTTCTTGGAAGTTCATATGAAGGTCAAGTGACCTCTTGTTACCTTTTCTATGCTGGAAAAGTAGAGAGTGGATATAAAAATAAACATGAAATACTGGTATCCTACCTTTATTTAAAATGGTAATAATTTAATAGTTATTAATTTTATGATGTATGTAGTTAACCACAACAATTAACATTTGTATTTAATTGAATATGAAATTTTTTCATTATTTCTATTGTCTTTCTCAGGAATTTCAAGTATTATATTGAACTTTTGTATGTTTACAGGCCATTTGGTTATCTGATAAAGCCTCTGATGTACTATATGAACAAGACATGCTAAAGTAAAATGCAATGATTACTTGAATGGGTGTGACTTTTTTGGCAGATGAATCAGATGAATGTGAATGAAAAAATATTACAGAGAACTTTTGTTAAAACTAAATGATATATAATTTTTAATGACATTTGGTTTTGTATGAATGTGTTTCATTGACTGTAATGTGATATGCAATTATTGTTGTGCCTATTCTTCACCCAAAACCCACTTTTTGTTCACACTTTTCATATAAGGTTTAAAGAGAAAGTAAGTAACAAGTCTTTTGCACACATAAAAAATAAATTACTTTAAATTATTTGTTTATTATTAAATAGAAATGATTTTTTTAAAACATTGTATGAGGACAAATAACTTATTATTAGATTAGGTCAGTCTTATTTGTTCACTTATTCAGATATTTTCCAAATATTATTGGAAGAATATGATTTACTTTTTAAATATAAGGCAAATAATTTGGCTATCAATGAGTATCAATTTATTGTTCATTTAAAGTATTATTTTAATTATGTGAATTGAACTTTTCCAACATTTGTATTGCTTTGACATTACAAATCTTTGGATGAAAAGATTACTACAAGAATTGCATGGATGATTTGTTCTTTATTAAATATGAATTTTTACTGAAATAAACATGAATTAAAGTATTATATTATTTCACTTTTTTTCCAAGCCCCTCCACTTCCCTTTTGCTTTGTCATACATATTTGTTTACAAAATCAGAGTAAAGATGAGTTAGTAAAAGCAGGGACATCTATATATTACATTGGGGCAGTAGACTTTAATATCTCCCCTATCTCTCATACCCCAACTGTGGGATCATATTTTAGGAAATGCCACAACTATGTACTAGTGAGGTTAACCCCATATGGCATTTCCCATCTGCTCAAGGCTTGTTAATGTTAGTATATAGTTTCAGTCATAATAGATTTCTTAGAATGTTTGTATTTTCTGAACATTTGTGTAAAAATGTAATATCTACATTCATTTTAACTGCAATAGCCATGCCAACTTTAAGAATCTTTCTTTTAAAATAATAAATTAATAAAATATTTAGATGCATTTGACATTCATGAAAAATGTTCACTAATCTTTACAAAATAATTACTTCTTAAACTTAAAATTAAATTGAACTACTGATAACTGGGAAAATGCAAATTTCACTTATGAGAATTTACTCCAGGGCTCAGTATAACAGTTAAAATTTTTGTCAAATGGATTAGTAAAGATCAGTCATAAATAAATTATGTTCATTATTATTATTTATTGGAGGGGGGAAAAAAAAGGGGGGGGAGGGGGGGGGGCTAAAAGCTATGGTGTTCAGATGCTATGAAAGTCATAAAGGTCTTTTGTACCTACACATTGAGACCTCCACACCACCTTGTATTCACCTGTATCCAAAATCCTAAGCCAACATCCCCTCCCCCATACTGCATCCACAATAAATGGATTGCTCCTTTTGAAGGAATCAAATCAAATTTCCTTTTCAATTATTAAAATAGCTCTTTGAAAAAAAGAAAAAAACATTGATTTTCCAAAACTTTCTCTTGATGTGAGGCATATTTGTTTTTTATTCAGCTGCAACATTAGCACAATTATAATAAATATACAATATTGATATATATGAAATACTAAACTGTGTAAATGGCCTAAAGTTTCAGATATAAATTGACATCATATGTGAATATTAAAATTCAATCTTAAGTTATTGCATTGTAATAATCTATGCATGAAGTAAAACAGCATCATTAGTTACTTATTACAGTATTAATGGAAAATGACACATTTCAGAAAGTAATGCTTGCATTCTGAAAAAAATAATTTCAAGGCAAAGAATATTATGATGACAATAAATGTCTTCACCTTAAAAGTTGCATTTTTTAAAAACTTTTCCTACATTATTATGAAAATGAAATATTTTCTTGAGAACAAAAATGGCCAACATGCATTATAATAACAATTTGAGCTACTGTCACTTGGAACTTTTTTACTGTTAGGCTCATTTCACCAATGAAGCTTAATTATTCAAGATCTACATTTTTACACAATGAAGATCTTTTATATGTTATGAAAATACACCCCTTAGCAATCTAAAAAAACCCCCCCCTTAGTACAGCAGTGCTCTTTTCACATGTTCTTTTTTCTCTGGTATAAGAGATGAAGGGAACTCTATGTCAAACTCAATGATCAGGTCTCCTTTGTCGCATGGGGCAACCACCAAAGGCATGCCCTCCCCAGGTACCACTTTCTTGTAACCAGGCCTGAAGCAAGAGAAAAATACAATTTATGAATGAATTTCAACACTCTTCAGAAATGCTTGTGTTTATGCCATAGTAATTACCAGCAGAAATCCTTCTGAGCCAAGAATGATTATTCTCTAGTTAATTGTTTAAAAAAACAACACAACTTTGCAATCAAGCAGATGTTGAAGTTATAGTAAGTTGTTCATGCTAATCCCATAAACACCATCAAGGCTATTTTCACCAACTTTTAGGCCTGTCAAAAGGAACATTAAATCATGAAATTCCATGTTGTGCTTTATACTTTCCATCTAAAATTGAATTGAAAATGTAATCATGGATCTATGTTCCTCCTGATTTTAACACTATTTATAAAAATACCCCAAACAAACCTATAAAGTTATTTATTTCTGAGCTTATTTTAGTTATTATTCACTTTTTATTGCATGAGTAGTGTCCCATTCTAACTGGTGCAATTCCTTTGTTTTGCTTTTAATAGTTTTACCTTGTTAATGAAACACTTTTCATTTTTTCTAAATGTTACTCTCAACGAGTTGTAATAGGCAACTGCAAGCCACTCACTTGACAATGTCTGTGATGGGAATGTGAAGAATCCTCTCATCAAGTGTGTGAATCTCTACAGTACAACCTGTCAGTGCCCTCCCTAATGGAACCCTTGCAGTATGAATCAGATTGGCTCCCTCTCTTCGGAATCTAGGATGGGGCTTGTCCTTCACAATAAATACTATGTCGGCTGTCAAAAATATGGGTTATTTAGCCCATGTATCAACATTGAATTGGGGAAAAAGGAATTTTGTTGAGCAATATTTTTCAAAATCAATACTTTAAAATATAGAAATTTTGCATAGTTTGTAACTATTTAATTCACATAGTGTGTCATGAAATGTTCATAGGTATGTTTCAAGATTTTGATATTTATTTAAATGATGGATAAACAAGCTTTTTGGTAAATTTTACCTACAATCAAAATGCAAGGTAAATTATAAACCAAGTCTAAATTAACAGGCTTATATGTATAAAACTAATCAAAATATTTATTTTCTTGGACCCTGTTTGTCACTAAAACTATCATTTCTATCAGTTATTTTTTTCAAGATTTTATCAAAGAAACATTTTTTAAAATACTTTCAAGTTTCAAGATTTTATCACACAATTGAATTCTATTGTTAAGAATTAATTAAATTCTTTTTTTTTCTAACTACCTGGTACATTGTTTGGTCCCTGGTCACCTTCCTGGGGAAATGTTATCTTTGTACCTGGTCTCCATCCCTTCTTTACTGTGATAGTTAGAATTTTGTCACGTATACTGGAGGTGTGGCCATCTTCATTCATGACCTAAGAGATTAAATTCATCTCAATAATGTTCCACTTCATTTAATATGCCCTTTGCCAATGGCTCAATTTTCTTTTCTTTTATTTGTTTGAAATTCCTAATTGCAAAAAATGTGGACAATCAAAGAATCAAGTATTTTTTAATAAAAAAAACAAACACATTGAAAAAATAAAATACTCACTCGTCTTGATATTTTCATCTTTTTGGTACAGCCATGATACACTTCCTCGAGACTCAGATACAAGTCTCTCTCTATGGGGGGGTCTTGTTTTTTTGCCCCCCTGCCATGTAATCCTCCAAAACCCATACTTAAATCCCCATCCACTCTATCATGAAATTCTGTGATTGAAAATATAAAAGTTAGCAAGGTTTTAATTAAATTTATAGGTTTACAGTGGCAGATCATTATAAAGTTATTAAGCTTTGAACTCTTTCAAATATTAATATATATTGATCCATATTTTTTCCCTCTTTCTAGGGATGGCTTCTGAAACAAAGTTTGTATCCAATTAGTTTTTAAACAAAATTATATCAATTTAAAAAAAATACTTATTGACACCAAGCAATTCATTCACTTATTTTTAAAAAAGTTAGATTTTTTTATAGACTATGACCTTTATTTTTTCGGCATGGGTCTGGTGTCTTCTGACCTTGGTAGTTTGTATTTTCCTCAAATCAATCGCTTCGACCAAATGGAATATATTACATCAAAACCTTTCTTGGACAATCTCTTTAAATTAAGTTGTTATAACAAATTATTCGTTTATAAACAAATAAAGCAACTTTCCTTACCTTGGAAGGGATTGTCCCCTCCAAAGAATTCTCTAAAAACTTTTTCAGGATTTCCATGAAAAGTATAACCATATGTCCATGCACCAGCCTCTCCACTTCCGGCTGGTACACCATTTTTTAATCCTTCCTCTCCAAACTGGTCATATACTGCACGTTTACGAGCTGTAAAAATTATATAAAGACTTATAATATGGTACAAAAATAATTATTGGCCTAAAAAAGACATTTCTTTTTTCTCTTATTTTTTAAAGAAATAAAATTATATTAAAATTTCAGCTATATTTATTCTGAATGTTCCCTTTATAAAAATCTTGAGTTTTAGTAGTAAACTTACGATCTGATAAGACATCATATGCTTCAGCAACTTGCATGAATTTATCGGCAGCATTCTGATCTCCTTGATTCTTGTCTGGGTGAAACTTTAGGGATAGCTTACGGTAGCTGTAATATCATTATTGATAAATTTGAATGCCATATTGTCCATGGATTCATCAAACATATAATATTTTAGCAAAATAGTCTATAGCAAAAAATAATACCAGGTTATACATAGCTATAATTGATATCTGCTACTTTAAGTAGTGTGGGTGTTTATTTATAAGATAAAAAGCTTTCACTTTAAATGAATTTAATACTTTTATCTTACAAATGATAAACACTTAACACTAGGACTAGAATTCTTTCAGGTACATCAAATTGTCAAAAGGAATAAATAATTGATAAGTTACAGTTTATAATTTAAATAAATGTTTAGGTCTATCAATTTTCATTGAGGATTAGCATCCCAGCAAATTATCAAGACAAAGATTAATAAAGATTATTATTATATGCCTAGGCATAGGGATATAACAATATCTTTAGTCTTTAGCACACAATTTCTGAAATACTATACTATTGTAAAAACTGCTTTTGCTTTACTCAGGATACTGAAAGTCAGTGCTATGGTAGGGATAACCTACAGCCCACAATGTTTAGTTAGTGAGTAAGATACACATTCAAAATTATAATTAGACACAATGATGTGAATGTAAAAGTAAAATGTAATGTAAAACATTAAGTCAAGTCATTATACTTAACTACACACGTTTCAAGTTTTATATTACGGCTAGAGCAAATTTCCCTTGAGAAATAATGTGTAGACTTAAACAAATATTTATGACATTCCTTACTATTTTTTTATTTCAGCATCTGTGGCGCTTCGGGTAAGGCCCAATATATCGTAGTAGTCAACTCCCATGACTGCAGAAGAGTGTTATTTGCGAGACAGTTTATTTATGAGTTCATGACAACAAGATGGCGTCCTTAGATACACAATTTTAACCAATTAATTTTTTACGCACACTATTATCTTTACAATCTCATAATTAAAACAATAACAGAATAAATATAAAATTCAATGTTTTTAAAAATCTAAAATATTAATTTAATCAAAATTACTTATAAAATTTGAAAATAAATAATGCGAAAATAATCCTATCACAAACGATAGAAAGAGTCCCAAGCAACCATTATTGAAAACAATATGTCCGACGTTACAGGATAAGGGTTGTTGAACAGACGGATTTTCAGATGTTTTCCATGCAGTGGACATTAAGATCACTTTGACAGAATAGAATGGAAGGTGACATACTAGGAGTGCGTATAGTTCCACCTGTAATTCAGTTTTTCAATACCAAACCAAAAACATGCTTTGAGCTTCCTATTTCTGTAAAAAATATCAGCAATTCAAGCAAGAGCATTCGTTATTATGGGCCAAAATCAGAGGTTTGTAAATGAGAAAGTTTTACCATTTTTAATTTTAATATCATATATATAAAGGGTAAAAGTGCAGTTCAGGTGCGTATATTATTTCTTAGCGCATTTCGTATTTTAAAATTTTTTTATCATGTAAACTTATGTGTATTCTTTAATAATTAAATCCAGGCAGTTATAGTTAACTAATTCTGGATTATAAATCGCATCTTTTCTTTTTATTTTACTTCTAAAGAGTCTTTAAACATCCCCCAACCAAAGTGACAGGGCCCCCATTTGTTTGTATTTTTCTTTTTACGCTATGCCAGATTTTTAGCCACCTATAAGTTAGTAATGCTAAACGAAATTTTCAAACTAAGCATGTTCACAAAAAAGAATGAAATACTAGATTCTTCATTACGCACAAGCGCCCCCCCCCCCAATTTTTTTTTTTTCCCCCCCCATAGAGCTGGGAATATAGGGGTTGTTTTTGGAAGTGGGGGGGGGGAGGGGGAGATTAGAAGTGGATCACTGACTAAGCAGTGGACACACACGTCATCATTGTCCTGGACCTGGTGTGAAGCTGATCACCCTGAAGGCTGCTAATACGCTGTCCGTGATTGGTCAGCTCTAATTTGAGCACCCCTCCTCTTTTTTCGTATGCAAATGCGCTTATTACTGGTGACTGATTTGCGCTGAGTAAAGTGAGGGCTAGTGATTATTTTTTTTATATTATAAGACAGACTCGTTTTGGCTTTGCGGTATTGCTGGTTGTAGGATCATTTTGTTTAAAATTGCAGGATGACCAAGAAACAATAACTAAAATTGTTGATGCAACAGGCATTTTTAATGGTGCAGCATTTGGTTTATACGCGCACCTTGTGTAGCAACAAATAACGTTAATACAACTGGAATTTCTCCTAAGGCGCTCGTAACTATTGCAATGTGGCTTGTAAGCTGGGTTCGTATGTCAAGTGTGTGAGCTCCCCATAATTACCGGGATCTGCATATCACCCGAAACAGGATCTCACCGTAACCGGTATCCCACCAGGATCGGTAACCCACTGGATCGGGATCTCACTAGGATCAAAATCCTATCGGGATCGGAATCTCACCGAAACGGGATCCCACCGGATTGGGATCTCATTTAGTTTGGGATACCACCGAAAACGGATCTCACCGGGATCGGTATCTTACTGGGATCGGGATCCCACCATGACCAGGATTCTATCGGAATCAAATCGGTTTCGGGATCCCATCATGATCCTTCCGGGTGCCATCGGAAAACGGGAAAAACGAAAGGTTTACATAAGTTATTTTAATTGTTTTTAATAGGAGACAAATTAATTATTATTATTTTTACTATAGTGTTGTTGTTTTGTTGTTGACATTTCGTTTAATAGCAATGTGAACTAAAAGGACGGAACAGATGTTTTTTCTGAATGCAGCCCCAGGCAATTCCGGTTATAGTTGATAGTAAAGTTATAAAATAAATACATCATTTATTTCAACAAGATTCATCCAATTGGGCAACTTTTATAAAGTATCTTTAAAGACAGAAGAGTTATCCTTGATTTACCACAATGGCTCCGTAAAACACGAAAGATTCATAAATTTGTATTCCAATAAAAAGATGGTATATAACTTTTAAAATACTTTTTATAAAGAATTAACATAAGTTTACACGGGAAAATAAGAGATTCAAACAGAAATAATATACGCACCTGAACTGCACTTTTACCTATATAAAGAGAGTGAGAGAGAGAGAGATAATTTCTTACTACTTACACTTAAACGCAGTAGCACTTGGCCTTGCACAGATTTTTCATAACTTTTGCATACATTTTTTTAAAAGTCTAAGCTGCCCAGACATCTAACTTGCTTTTATTAGTTAGTAATTATTTGTAGTAGTTTGTTAACATTTTTTTTATAAATTGTTGGTATTAGGAATTTAAAAAAAAATGATTCATTTACTCTGCAAACTTTTCTGTTATTTATTTTAGAATTTTTAAAAGAGAAGACCTTTTTAAATAAAGTATTTTTGTTTTAATTTAGTATTTATTTATATAAAAATATAAAAAAATATTTAAAAAATCACTTTGCTTAGGCCTGTATTACTATTATTATAAATTTGAGACATTTTATTGTAATAAATTATCATTATATAATATGATATTATTATAAGATTATTATATAATCTATGCATTACAAATTTTGACAGTGTCAGTTGGTGTCAGATGATCCCATTGATATTACACCAGTAAATATTAAGTTTAAAATTAATAGTTAACCATTTTGGTCTTGTTCCTTACTTTATGTGTTGATGTTTAAAATTAATTTTTGCATAAAAATTAAGATTAAAACTTTTAAAAAATCTTTAAATTAATTTAGGGGATCAATAAAAATAATTGTATTATGAGAAATTAGCAATGAAGTCATTGAAGTTATATAATGCAATCCAGTTGTTTACATAAAAATAAATAAGGTCAAGGAATGTAAAATGAAACATTTGACATATTGGTTGTTGATAATTCTTCCTATTTACTGTTGATGGTGAACTATATCTGTTGAGGCTCATATAGCATGAATCTCTTTAACTTATATTGAAAATTATATTTTTGCTTTTTTGTCCAATTGTTCAAATATTCAGTAATATTTTTTATTTTATAAAGTAAACAAATTATAGAAGATTTCAGTACTTAAGGGTAAATTTGCTTTATTGTCTTGAAAGTTATATTATTATTTATATTTAATTTTAATCTTTAAAATATAATAATTATGTATCAACAGTGTTTTACTTTAAGAGTAAATAATCCTGATCAGCCTGTAGCTCCAGGTCTAGCTGTTTCTGCTGTTGTTGTATATGAGTCTCCATTGGAAAGAGAAGAAAAAGACAGAATAGTTATTACAGTAGATGGAAATGTATTAGAAGTGCCCATATTTGCGTAAGTGCTAAATATATTATCTCACTGGCAAAGGTTAACTAAAACAATTTGTAAAAATAAATTTAAAAAGAACAAACCTTAGACTTATGCCCATTTACTTTTACATCTGAGTTTAATATTCAATCATTTTTTACTTTTAAATTAATCTTACTTCATCTGGCAAAAACTTATTTTCAATGAAATTGGTTATCAAATGAAATTGTTATTTTAAAAGAGTTTGATAGTCAATAGTTTTGTGACAGAGCAGGAAGAGCATTCAGGGTTATTTTTTTATGGTGAGATAAATTATCTTACAATTATCATATTGGATATAATCGAAAATGGTTTTACATTATTTATAGACTAAATATAGACACTCTTTTGGAATATTTTATTTATCCTCCTTATCCAGTTTTCCAAGTCGGCCAGTTCTAGATTATGAAGATGAAGTAGACTTTGGAACAATTGTTGCAAACAATAAAGTTTTCGCAAAAAATATCACAGTCAGAAACACGGGGTCAAAGAGTGGTGACTTTGAGTTTAAATATGATGGTATCAGCCCAATATCTATCATACCAGCTCGAGGGACTGTGCCACCTCATAGTGATGCCATCATCAAGGTCTATGTTTACTATGTCTAATAGCAATTAGATTTCAAACCTATTTATAAGTCTAATTTAATAACTAATATGTGGTTTAAATGATCTTCCTGGGATATTAATGCAATATTTTCTATATATAACAAAGAAAATAAATGCAATCTAAGAAATAACTATCATTAAGAATGACTAGGCATTTGGGTTTATGTTCTATTCTCCTCAAGTTTAAGATAGAGGCAAGGAAAATTGCTCTCTGCCTTACATGTTTTTTTTCTATTTTTAAGGTTGAGTATCTTGCTAAAAATCCTGGAAAGTTTCAAGAAGAAGCTGAGTAAGTTTAAGTCTTATAAATCGATTTTATTTATTAAGTACCTTCAGCTAAAAAATAAGCATATCATTTAATGGAATTGAGAAGCTGAATTATGCACTGGCAAATCTCATTGATGGAGAAAAAAAATTAATAGAATAAATCAATGTTAGTTTGTTCACTCATAAAGAATTTTAAAGTCTTTACTCCATATGAGCCTTGGCTTTTGTTGGATATGCTGGCTTTAGTGCCATATCTTGGGTTGAGTGGCATATGGATTTGTTAAAGAAACATAAGTATTTTAGAAAAATTAAAGATTTCATTTGATTAGTAACCCATGTTATATGAACTTTCTACACCTAAGATCAGTAGGATGTACATTTTTATTTTGCCAGTGTCTACTTAGAAGGACGAAACCCATCAAAGCTTGAAATTTCTGGAAGAATAACAGAGAGAGCCCTGGAGCTTCTTTCTCTTCATGGAGATAATAGTAAAGTTGATTGTATTAGATTTGGAAACACCTACTATGGCACAGATCTGATTGAGTGTGCTTTGCTGTACAATAATGGGCCTGAGCCAGTAAGCTTTGTGGCCATTTTAGATGAGACTGCTATAGCCCAGGAGTTGGTTAGTATTTGATTAATGTGCTCTTAAAGTTACTATCTCTCTGGCTGTTGTATGCCAAATATCTGATTTAAAAAAAAAAATGAAATTTGTATCCATACTATTAAAGGGCCA